AGATTCAGATCACTGAGTGAGGAGGGCACCCGGGGGCATTACCAAGCAGCAGCAGAGTCTTGGAAAGAATGCTCATTTCCAGCATACTTCTGGGCTGAAAAAAAACCAACAGTATGCACTACAGTATGTTGTAGCCATCATATATGATGGATGATAAAATATATTTTAAAAGAAAAAGAAGACAGTCATATGCACAGTTCATCATAACTCAGAACAGGCTCTTCAATGGGGACTAGTGGGGATCGACTTGATGGCAGTGAGCTTGGCTTTCTGGTGACCTGTGAAGTATTAGGGTTTTATGGGCTCATCCGTTATCTGGCCTATTGGAAACCAAGGGTTCTGTCTGGCTCTCGATCATCACACATGCAGAATAAGACAGTCTCTGTGGCTGTGATAGCAATTCTTGAAAAGCGAAAGCATCTTTTTAATACTACTGGTTTCAGTTCAAGAAAGCACCATGGTTATGTTTGGATGTCACATGCACACTAAAAACTCTTCTTTAACAGTCACATTTCTTTTCCAGAAAATATGTCACTTCCCACAAAGAAGAGAGCCCCCTTTGTGTACACTGGGATGTCAGCAACCAGGTGACGCTTTTATGACTTTGAGCTCTTCATGTGAAAGTTGCATTTCTTAATTAAAAAAAAAAGCTGACACCCCATTGTTTCAGTGAATCAGATCGTGTCTCACAGGTTAGCTTAAAAGCTGAATGGACCCGCCATTCACTTCAAAAGGAAACTAAGCCAGACTCTCAGTCACTCGATATTAACCAGCTACTTCGCTGCCTTGTGCAATTATAGCTACCGTTCCCGAACGACAAACGTAGGATCCCTGCCATCAGTGTACATACTGACAACTGATGTCTTCTCAGAATTTGTGCTGAGTATCTGACTCACAAGCTGGTATTTTTTACAGGACAAGATATCGGTCATCTTAAAGTTTTAGACCCTAAAACTTAAAAAGGAAGCCTAAATTTTCTTAATACATGTGGATTATAACTCATACCAAAGGATAATCTATCTTTTTTCAGGACACCAAAGACAATGATGGTGTACAGGAAAATTTCTAGCATATAAGACTTTTGTAACTTCATCTGAATTCTGAACTAAGAGTTCGAGAAAACAATTAATGTTAACTGTTGTTCAGTAGTCAACTCAGTAGTATCAATGTGATTCAACATAGATCTTCTCTTAGCAGAAAATATTTTGCTGTGCATTGAGCACACCGCTTTCAAAAGAAATTGTGTTTCAGGTGGCCCTGAGTGATGCCAATGTGGAAGCTCTCAGAAAGCTGGCCGCCAAGACCGGTTGGGTGGTCACCAGTGCTGTGGAAAAGGTAAGCATTGTCCTAGTGTACAATACAACCCACTGTCCCTCACACGTGGAAGTGGTGGCGGCAGTGACGGTGGTTGTGGTTTTTCTGCTCCCACTGCTGTTGTTTATTATTTTATTTTTAAAAATAATTTGAGAAAACTATTTCTAGGAGTTAAGCATTTGTTTGGCCTTGTCTCCATTACTCCGGGCTGGCTGATTCGGAGCCTTTCAAACATACCAGGAATGTTGCAACCCTAGTGCGTAGGCCCTCCTTTCACAACTTTCCATTTCTCTCCGTCTACTGAGATTTCAGGACTCAGGGCACAGGCTTCTCAATAAAGTCTCTTATCTTACCCCTCCGTGAGCAGCCTCGCCTCTAGGCTCTCGTTGCTTTAAGATTAATTTGTTGTAGAGCAAACATGATGCACTTGGCTACTAACTGAAAGGTTGGTGGTTCAAGTCCACACCTCAGTGCCTTGGGAGAAAGACCCGGGGATCCCCTGAATGATCACCACCCTTGCAAACTCATGGACACAGTTCTACTCGGGCACACCAGCTGCCCTGAGTCCTGATTTACTTGAAGGCCACTGGATTAAAGGTTTTAGGTCTTAAAAATGTGTTTATCTGTGAC